ATTTTAAACGTTATATTTCCCTTCTATGTTCCCCTTTTACATTTTTATACAGTAATAAGATTTCTAGAAAATAAAGAATCCCTAGGTCGCTGATTCAATCCGGCTCGAAGGACCATATGAAAGGTTGATAGAATGATAACACGACCACGGCTTATGCACGAGTTTAATCGAAGTCGTACGATAGTATCAAAAGTGCATATTAAAAATGTTCGATACCTACTCGAATAAACATATTTATTGGTTTTACAACAGACATTTTTAATATGCCGTACGAGCTCTGCAGTTGTGAGTTCGAGCAGTGTTACCGTTGCAGTAAGAAATAGATTTGTTAAGTTTACAAAACTATCATCTGTTAGGTATATCAAATAGACATAGTAATGTTCGAAATCAATAGTTGCCCAACCCTAACAGGGAACAGTTAACATACGGCGCTTTAATGAAATAAGTACTTGTGGTGAAGAGTCCACTGATCCAAGATTACGAGACTCTTTGTTAGGGATTTGCGATACAAATGTTTCAAGTAAGGGAGCAGATTATCATTTTGTCATTCCACTAGAACATGGTAGTTTAAATATTTGGCCCTTCGATTTTTAAAAGACGTTTAATCTGTTTTGTTTGTTTGTTTGAACGCGCTTATGTCAGGAACTACCGGTTTGAAGAGAAAATTTCTTTTTTATGGCTATAAAACATTGCGTTGTCCCTAATAGGAGAGAAGAAACAGCGGGAAATGTGGAAAAAGCGGGGAAAATTATTCATCTTTGCGGAAACGGTTTAAGATACCCGAATACATGTTCGAAAGAAGGATTCCTTCTCATGTCAAAAATGTCTACGACACCATATGTCTATATTTTAGGATGAATTGCCAAGAACAACGGGACGCAAACGATGTCGTAACTGCTTTAATTTAAAAAGATGAGGAAAACAAAATTTTGACGCTCAAAATAACCATTTTACGCAGAGGAAGTCGCTGGAACGACTAGTCTAATATTTTCACATATTATTTACACATGATGGCATTGTATAATTATGATAAAAGTACGGTAAGTTGAAAATTACAGCCGAGGCGATATTACTATAAGAAAGCAGAGGCTGTAATTGTCAAAGCGCACGTATGTCATACGACGTTTTATAACATTTACGAGGAAATTAATAAAACTGTAACTTAAGCGATGCGCGCGCATCAACTTTTTTTTTTAGGCAAAGGTACAAAAACAGCTAGTATTACTAATAAAGTAAATTAACATTTTTGTGTTTTTGTTATAGATAAATAATTGTAATTTATTGTCAAAATTAATTAAATTAAAGAATTAAATGTTTATTTGTTATATTTTATTTCCCAAAGTTAATTTTATACATAAAATATTGACCACTTTCTTAACATTAAAACCTCTTTGCTAAGATTTTTAAAAGTGCCGTTCATTTTTAGGCGGATTAAACGGAGTATCTTAAAATTACACAAGTACGTAATGAGAAACATTACGATATTGAAATTGGTGTAATTACAACCACTTTACGAGCAAATATGTTATAAATTCTATTTACATTGTCTAAATTGTACGACACAGTATCTTAATTGGTTAGAACAACAGCCGGAACACTATAGATGTCGGCTCAAATACCGCCCGTACCGTAAATATTTTCAATTCTAATAACAACAACTCAATAGTTTAATAGTTAAGCGCATTGCCCAGCTATGTGTTGAACGCTAGAGGACCTAGGTTCAAATTCTGGGGTACATTGTAGTTTTTCTTTTCTTACTTGTTCGCGAATTGAATGAGTCGACAGACATAGTAATATAGTTACCCATTGTTCCACGTAGAGTAAATGAAAGACAGTAAAACTTTTACTTTACTGTAGAGTTATAAGAAGGTACCACATACATTTTATGTCTTTAGTTCTTTGTCTGTTTCGTGCATTTTTGCTCTCCGGCGAAATTTTCACTGTTTTTACGACTCATCCAGATTTCGAAGTCAAACATGTTTAACATGTTAGACCCTTGGGGGATTAGACCCACGATTCATTGATGACTAGCCATACTTGGCTGCCATTTTAATTACAAACCCAAAATGAATAACAGTAAATATTATTATTTCTTTAGACATCTATTTAGTAACTAGATGCCGTGGATAAGGCTACGGGTCCGTCGAACCGGATTCTGGTCGAGCGAGGGTAGCTAGGTGGCTATTAGTGGAGGAAGCCGCACGCACGCTAATTGCTAAATTCGCCCCCCCCCACACTGCCCACCTACCCCCACAACCTCCCCCCCCGTCTGGACGCGTTCATTGTCCTTGCTAATGAAATTGTGCTCTGACATCAAGATAATTAGTAAATCTTGTGGCCTGTCGGATTTATCTTATTGGTATTGGTGTATCTGGCCTTGGTCATATTTTTATGTTGGTAGTTTCCATTAGTACTTTCTTCAAGTTGGTACCTACTGGTTTATCGATGTTGAATAATATTGTATAGAAGTTGGTTCAAATGCATTTTTTAATTATGGTGACTTACCCAATGAGATTCGTTGTATTTAAATTTTTCTATGTTTACGCGTTGTACAAATTTAAATTAACACTAATAACGGCTTTTAATTTATTCTTTATTTAATATAATATATTCAACCATCGGGGTACGGTGCGATGTTTTGTTATTTTCTCTTACGCAGCAACAGTCGTTAAAGATCACGTTTTACACTGTTCAAGGAGAGGAGGTGAGTTCTAATATACTGTCTTATGACAGTTATTAAGGATAAAATGTAAAAACATATAAATAGGTAACATCTTGATAGAATATAAGAGTTCACGGAATGGCAAGCGGAGGTTGTAGAATATTAAGGTATTGTAATATTAAAATATTAACATAAAACTACGTTTAATTTATATTTAGGTATAATCACTCGTGCTCATAAACAAAATGTATAACAAACGAATATCTATTATTTCAGTATAATCCTATCTTTGTAATAATGATTGTTTTCGCTGTAAATAAGCGATAAAATAATAATCGTATTCATTCTCTAATGTTATCCTGTTACAGTGGTGTATTTGTGCATTAAATCTCATTATAACTCGCATTGTCCGATGGTCCTGGCTCAATTTGGTAATAATTATGATAATCTATTGATAGGTAGATGGGATCTAACATTTTAATTAATTTTCAATAGATATACAATACCGATATCAACTAACATTTCAGTGTTGATACCGAATTTTATATGACTTTTCTTTATATCGCAAATAATTAACATAGAAACAAAACAAGAAACTGGATGTAAGACATAATAAAGTTGATTGAAATTAAGGATAAACGGTGGCCTTATAGCTAAATAGCTATCTCTTCCAAGCTACCGCGCTGGATATAAAAACAAAGTACCTAATAAAAGAGGCGTGTTGAAATCTTTAAACGAATATTAGAGATAGCAGGCTGCAATGTAACTGAAACCGGAGGTCTTCATTTAGCTTCGCTGCTTGCTGCTGCAGTCCGGATATTGAGAGATCCGATACAAACGGTCTTCATAAAGATCTGAGTACCACTGTTTGTTAGGTCAATATTCAACAGCAAGCAGAAATAAAATATTAAAATAATATACCAATGTCACTATCAAAGGAAATATTTTATTAAATCTGTGTACAGGATTTTAGTACAATGGAAATTCAAATAATAAAGGCTTGATTTGATTTGACGTTGCGTTTAAGACTAAAAATATATACACAGTCTATATATAAGTATTTAAATACTTTTACACTTGATTTTAAACACATAATTTTACTTAAAGATAATTAAGTAAATTAAAATCCGTTCGATGTCACGGACGGGATTCAAACTCACAAAAACGGCCCTTGTTGTTTTTCTTACCGACTACAATTATTAAATGTAAAAATAAATAGGAGGTGACCGTGCATTTTCTTATAAACTTAATTAATCATATAAAGAAAAGTGGATTAAATAGCAAAGACGCAATTAAACGACTGTGGTTCAACATTATAAATAAAGTTCTGTTTAATTATAACGAGTAATTAATTCTTTTTCAGCAATATAGAGCTTGCACGAGGAACGCTATAAAAAGACAAGTTTTAAGACAAAACGGCCGCCATGCCACCGAGTAAGGCGGAGCTAATCATATTGCCTAACCTCACAGTTAAGTCGTAAGCTGTCAAAATTATGTACATAAATGTGCGCTTTATCTCAAACTATCAAGACGTAATTTTAAGTGGCACATACAGGTTGTTACGCCTTTCTAGGATGTGTGAATGGTACACAAGTGGCCAATCAGCGCGCGGTTGCCATAGCACTGAAGTTTTATATTTCTATAACAGATGGCGCTAGTAGTAATAGTAGTAGCTCTTACTACTAATCCATTAGGAAATTTTAAGGTATTAGTTATTGCAAAGTTTTATAATATAACAAGAATTGTACAATGAATCCTGGCTTTTTAAATTAATGTCTCATTCATACATCTACACAAACAATAGTGTTATGAAAAACGACGCTTATTAGAATTTATAAAACTCTGTTAAAAACTTGTAATGTAGATTTATAAGTTATCTTACTCAAATGTTAAAGTAATTAATTTTGCTAAAACAGTGTGAAATAACCTATCTACAATTTCATAACATTATTAAGTATTTGAAATTTCGTTTGAGCCATAACTGCCTTGTTAGAACAGGCTCGATCAATGATTCTTAGATTTAAGCAACGCTTAACATTACCTAAATATTAAGAAAATAATTATTAAATAGTTATTTTACTATACCTACTTACCTTAGGAATTACTAACTCCTTGTAATCATTTAACAGGGTTATAGACTTCTTTTCGAAATTACCTACTAGTTTTAATTAAAGGTTTTGTGAGCACTTGTATTTTTGCCAGTACTGTATTCGTGTAAGATGTAAAGAAGGAATATTTTTCTAATTATAACGGATACGTCCCACACTTCACATAGAGATTGAATTGCATAATAATTCATTTATTGAAATGTCTCTCCCGTATTGGGGAAACCTAATCTCTAGGAGGCTATTATACCGAATTTCCTGCGCAACGCTGCCATGTTAAACTCCAAAACCACTGCATACGAGCCATTTTCGTCTGCTATCAAAGAATTTTCCTCTTGCTGCAAATTAAGTGGTAATACACTCTATGCGGTTAGGTTAAAGTTTATTTTCTGGTGGAGGGTTTCCTTCAGCATGGGGTGAGGAGTCGCGAGGAGCCGGAGGGATGGAGTGAGGGGGGGTTGTGTTTTCCCCGCAGTTTCCGAGGGAAAGCGGCACTTGAGCGCCGTTGTGTGGAGCCGGCAAACGGAAAAATTATTAATAATAATCACAACTCTAGTGGTTAGTAATTATAACGTATGTACCTAGTGAATATAAGGCAGCTAGGTAATTCATTGTGTTAAAGAAGGTGGCTGAGAAGTAATGTTTGCTTTCATTCAATGTCTAAGAAATCTGTTGAGGATAATACCGAGTTATACGATCCAATCTTAGTGCATAAAATACTGTCAATTTTATACAATATGAGGCATCCGGCTAAAAGGGACACAGAAATCAGTTTTAATCAGTTATATAATAAATATCCGTACTACGAGATTCTATTTACACACAAATAGTGTTCACAATTTTGTACGCTCTCTCAACGAAACAGATTATAGCTTCCCTGGAATTCGAACTTACGACCTCCCGTTCTTCATACAATGCTAGGCCACGTGTTCTGTTAACTATTGAGCTATAGACGTGATCAGTGGTTGTAAAAAGAAAAATATACGTACTTAAATCCAATTACATTCCGTTTGTTATTATCGCAAGTCTATAAACGCCATATCTTTACTGTGAAGAGTTTTATAAAAAATTAGTACACTCACTATTTACTAACGCCTAGATAAATAACACCCAACTTTAACCGTTTAAAACTCGAAATATATTAGTTAACGTTAATGTAAATTAGTTACAATTAATTTATTTACGGGCCGACGTTTTGGATGCAGCCGTGGTCTCATTAAAAGTGTTTTACTTAAATGTGTACGCGCATAAACTAAAGATAATAGTTTATTAAATTATTTTACCATATAAATAGCTGAGCTACCCAGTGTTATTTGCCGAACCCACGGGTTCAGTGCGTTTAAAAAATATATTAAATAACTATTTTTGAAGTTGCGACGTATTTATTATATCATTTCGATAATTTATAAGAGAACCTTGCCCACAGATTTTGTATTTTATTCCGAGATTTCCAAATAACTGACACTGACTTGACGTTTCAATTATATCTTTTCTAAAGTATTTTAGTCTTTCATCCAATCTTAAGTCTAATAATATAACATGTAAATTTATAAGTGTTTTATGTGCTTGAAATTGTCTCATAGACAATTGTCATCCATATTAAGAATAGTGGGTATTTAGGTATATAATACTGAATGTTTCTTTTTTCCCCCTTTTTTTTCCCTGAGGCTACGATGGATTCAAGTCCTGCCCGAGTCGAAAAATCTTTCAATTTTTTTTTTTTCTTTTTATTTTTCTATGTGCACTTAAAAATATAAAGTTTTCAAATACAGAATGTTTATAGCCAAAATAGATTGACAGCGTGTCTTATATAGATGTTATACGGCTGTGGTATATCTTTTTACATCAACTGTATCCCATGTTTGTCTGTGATGTACTTCTCAAGAAAGCTACATTTTCTACATCTAAGCAAGATGCGCTGTCCATCTACTATAGCTTTGGATATTCGGAAATCCACAGACTGATGTCAAAATACAATTAAATTTTACGTCATTTTCATCCATGAGCGGTGGATCGTGACCCGGGCCATATTCGATATTCCTACCACGCATTTATTATCCAGATTTTCAGAAGAAGTCCAAAATTATCGCGTACAAATATAAATTGATTAGAAACCTGTTAGATCCAGTAAAAATCGACCACGATCAGTTGATTAGGATTCTTGTTAGCCATCAATTGGTAGACCATTAGCACGCAATGCCATGACGATGCCGGTACAAGTCTTATATGAGTCGACTTTTTTGTAAATTTATTTTCGATTTTTAAATGATCAGAACCTGTTAAATCCAGTAGGGATCGAATCCAGACTTGTTTATAAGGCATACATTGCTACTATTACTCTTGAACACATCAAATTGGAGTAAGTACCTACATTCAATTTTGAGGTTAACAAGTCAATATAGTACCAATGGTCGGCTATGCGATTTACCACACGTCGTCCCCACGTCACACTTACCCGACGTGGGCGTGCATTAGGCATTCACACCATCAGTAAAAAAAGGTTCTGTTCTTGAAATTAATATTTAAAAAGTTGTCGCCGAAATGCCGAGTATTTCCCAACCACAATTAAGTTCTGATGAAATTCAGTTATTTGACAAAACTCGTCTAATTCGTCTAACAATCAATAAGGGGACCCTTGTCAATTAATCTCCATTAATTAATAATACTGACGTCGCTCCTCACATAATTAATGTCAATAAAATCCGTCAATCCGGACAACAATGGAGCGAAATAGCGCAGAACTTCCGCGAATTCTTTTGCGAGCTTAAAGTATCGTGTTGCTTCCACGGGGTGTCGAATTCGGACCCTTGAGAGACTGTTAACCACACGGTTAGATCGGATCGGTGTTAGATTTTATTGTGAAGTAGTTATTATTATATTAATAGTTATATATATATATATATAGTTAGTTATAGTTATTTTTTATATTAATATGAATAATGCTATTCATAATAATATAAAAATAGATTCTAACAAATGTTTGTCTAGAGTCATCGTCATATCGCAAAAATATATTTCATTAGTACAGTATTTATTTATTATATGTGTGGAGTTACAGCAGTTTAATAATAGATACCTACAATATAAGTAATAGATTGAATCTACCTGGATAATAAGAATAGATAATTTCTAAACACACCCGGCTAAAAAGGTTTAATCCACAAGTTTACAAAAAGTTTGCTCTTGACTGGGTAGTTCTACCAATTGAGCTACCGAGTCTAGGAGCAATTGGAGAGCAACAGCACGGAACGCTGACGGTGCCGGTTCAAGTCCTGCCCGAGTCGAAAATGTTTTCATTTTAAATTTTTAAATTTATATTTATTATATAATTATATATGCCTTCATGTGCAATAACATGTGAAAAATATATGTTTTCAAAAGCTACCTCTCTACTTATTAAAATCTATATTTACTAATTATAAACTATAAAATGGTTAGTTTAAAATTATTAAAATCAAATTATGTATTATTGTCTTGTATGATTAGATTAATTAATTATTAAATACTTAAACACTGTCTGTAGTTTACGCGAGCAGTACACATTTAAATAAAACACTTTAACGGTAAAAACGCGATATGTATTAGTTAAACTTATTTGAAAATGATTTTTAACGTCGGGTGAAAATAATTTCTAATATAATCGCGTTTTCAAACGGTTAGTGTTTCTGTATTTAAATAATAACTTCTTAACAGTCGCGTATTTACATTAGGTACGATTTAATTTTGAAATCTAGAGTTACAAACATTACATAACAACGTATAGTTAGAAAAAAATTGCCTTCAAATTAGCATATTTTTAATGTTAGGAAAAGCAAAGGCTTTGAGATGGAAACTTAATCATATAATTAGGTAGGCACTGAATTAAAGAAATATTTGGAAAAACAAATCTATACACTAAGTTTTCTATGTTATACAAAGAACTCTTGACTCTTGGGTTGTGACACACTTTAGAAGCAAGATTAAAGCAGACGGTTCATTCAGTTGCAATGTTAACAGTTAATTTATTTAAGAGTATGGCCACCCTACGCTGTGTCTGTGGGTTGTACGTTTACGCAACACAAAACACCGTGTCACATTACAATCGACGCCAATTGACGACGTAATGCGATAATCGGGACGAAGAGAAATCTTCCCTCAGTGTTGAAACGTCAAAAACGTCGCCAGGGTGGAGGAAATACGGGAAAGTAGCTTTGTGGGTTGTGACTTAGGCTGTTCTAGATCATGTATTAATTTATAGTTATTATTATATACATTTCACTAAATAGTTTTCTATACAACTGAATCAGGATACAGCAATAATACCTATTCGAAATATGTTCAAGATTTAAAAAAAACTTTACAAAAACGTAAAGAACTTATTGGGGAAATTTTATAAATCTAGAAACACATGCCTTGAATGAAGATTAAATTTAATTCGATTGCAAACTTGCACGATATCACTTTATTGTTGGTAAGGAGCTATCACAATAACACTTTTACTATAATGCTTAACTATTTATTTTCTTATTTCTTAAACTTTCCAAGTATTTTAGGATTTACTTCAAGATCATGTATGTACAGCGATAGTGAACGATACAACAAGTGTAATCACGAGAAAATATAATAAGTGAAATTATTATTATTTATTATTCAAATATGATTACTTACTATATTTTTTATTAAAACACTTTAACGGTTTAAAACGCGATATATTAGTTAAACTTATTTGAAAATGTCTCCCCGGGACCACGGCTGCTGCAAAGCATCCGAAACGTCGGGCCGAAGTTAAAAATCATTTTAAAATAAGTTTAATTAATATATCGCGTTTTAAACCGTTAAAGTGTTTTATTTAAATGTGTACTACTCGCGTAAACTATAGACAGTATTTACTATTTCTTAATTATAGAGACATCAAACAGAGTTGACAAGGAGCCAAGGACGTAATAAATTTAACATCATAGCACTGAAGGTTATTCAAAAAATGTTGACATTAAATATATATGTTTGTTTATTATTATTATAAAAACGGTCGAAACCAAGAACGTTATCTGAATAGTATGCACTACTATTACGTAAATACCTGAGTACATTTAGATTATTCTAGTACTAACCTGTATCCTATCCTCGGGTAAGTCTGTCTTAAGCGATAGCATCTCCCTTGCATATACATCGGGGTAGTGGGCGTCCTTGAAGGCCTTTTCGAGTTCATCCAGTTGGTAGGAGGTGAAGATCGTCCGGCTGTAGAAACAGAAAGAAAAAGAATAATGTAGTTTACGCTGGTAGTTACACATTTAAGATATTTTATAGGTTTAAAACACATTTTATAGGTTTAAAACGCGATGTATAATTGTTAAACTTATTTAAACATTATTTTAACTACGACCCAATGTTCCGGGTGTTTTGCAGCCTTGGTCACGAGGAGACTGTCTCGACTGTCCCTCGCGTTTTAAACCGTTAAAATGTTTTATTTAAAAGAAAGTTTATAAACTTACAGATAAAGACCAGCATACATTTAGTTAATGAAATTATTATATTAATAATAATGTACCTATGTAGGTTTCTTAACTGTATGCTATATACCTACCACCGTGGTTCACTAATAACTCGTCGTCGTAGCCTTTAACATATCAAGAATGGTACATTTACATTTGTTTTGTTATTTATTTACGTTTTCAAGTAATGCAACAATTCCAACAGATAATAACGCGCCTATGAATAAATTACCTATGTCTCCTTTTTTTCTTCTTCTTCTTGCCGTTGTAGCCTGTTAGACCGTCTACAGTGAAGTCTTTTGCGGCCTCTAACGATGATACACCTGGCACAAATAAAACATAATATGAATTATGTTATATATTTCGACGTCATGAAGTATGAATACAATAATGGCATGATAATTATTTGCAATTGTTTTATGTGATTTTGAGACACGAGGAGGGAGGACAGAGGTTAAGATTATAAAAAAATCTAAACATATTTTTCAGTTTTAAATTTGAACTCGGTATGGCAGAGCACAAATCTAAACATCACTGAAGAAAGTGTAATTTGTAAAAAAATATTCGAAATGAGAATTTATCATTAATGGCAACGTTACGTAACGCGTAACGGGCCCAGTTTGCTATCTCACAAAAATATCAAAACGCAAATGTATTTTTAAACCACGACTTGGCGTTTTGAATGCTGTCGAAACATGGAACATGATATTTCCTTAATGTAGCTAACGCCATCTATTGGTACCAATAATAAACAATTCTCAATGCAATTTCGGAAGTTTTATATATATCAATCGACAGACACAATAAAGTTCAATAAATAATGCGACAATAATATTACACATTTAAATAAAACACTAACGGTTAAAACGCGATACATATTAGTTAAACTTATTATTACTTAATTTATTATAGTTAAAGTTTTACTAATATATATGAAGTTTTAAACCGTTTAAGTGTTTTATTAAAACAAAAGTGAAATTTTAAATTCACAACTAACCCTCCCTCGCTTCGCATCTGACGACAACAAGTTAGGCGCTAACTTGTCACATAATTACCGAATGTGATTGCCAAATGAATTAGTAAACAGGCGAACGTGGGTTAATAGAATTGCTTCCCCCGGGTAACACGGGGTATACCCCGGGGAAGAAGGGTAATTGAATTTGCAGCAATGAATACGACAATGAATTATTAAATTTTCTACCCCGAACAGATCGCTGTACACTGCTCGTTAGCTATTGAGGCGTTGGATAGGTGTGTTCACAGCCAGCAATGTATTTTAGATGTCGGGAGAAATATTCGCGTGTGACGAATTGAAATGGAGTAAAGGGTAACATGTTGTGAGGTCAAGCCACGTGCAGGGTTGGTGTGATGTTGAATTTGTTGTGTTTACTCGATTAAGTACGAAATGATTATGTACGTATTAAAGTTACCAATATTGAAGAATATTTATGAATTAAAAAACTATTAAAAAATAGATCCTCAGCGGTCCGTGCTGCGGCTATAACTACCTAATTCGGCTGCCATGTCATTTGGTCAAATCAGATTTTTAATTTATATACTGCCATGTGCGATAACTTAAAAAATGTTAAAGTTTCAACCGATACTTTTTTTCTAATCCGTAATCTTGTTAAGTTTATATCGCATTTGGTTTTGTTTTTTGTTTGGTTTTGTTACGTAAAGGTACCTACTGATTTAAAATAATTGTGGGTCTACTCGCAATACTTTTTTCACAACTTGACAGTCACAAAGTTATGAAAAATTATCTAAGATTTTCATTTCCTATTTATTCTTATATAGAAAATAATTAGCATACCTACTTACTCTTAAATTTAAATGATAACATTTTATAATCGAATGTGGTTTTTAACGAAAACACTTGATTCTTTATAAACATTTTAGTTTAACCTTAAGCATAAAAAACGATAAAATATACGAACTCAAAACTTGCTAGACGTAACGCATACTATAACGAAGTGGTTTACTATTCCATGAGAGGAAAAAGACAAGGGAAAAATAACGTGTGACTACACCGACCCTTCAAATCGCGGAGGCCTCCATAAAACCGATGGTGGAACGCCACATTAAATCAGCCTGGCGTAGAGCCAGCTATCGGAAATCAATAGCAACAACCGAAGACAGCCACATAACGAGCTAAACAGAATGGATCATAAGTCGGTTACCGTAAGATCATTACGCAAACCTCTGCTCAATGTATGCGTCACCATGCACGGTGAGATCAAAGGAATATCTTATCTATGACAATGTAATAAGACCGGGTTTCCAACAGCGGCGTGCTGCACAGAGGGGCTGGGCACTCATTGTGCGCGCCTGCCACTTTACATTGTTGCACATAATAACAAACAACCGACCTTTTATTCGAGCCCCGTAATTATTTGGTAATTGCTCCTTCTTGATAATCGACGGATTTATTTTTTTATTTTCGGCTATGGTGACGCAATTTGCACGCTCTAGTTAAACGGGGTGTAGGTGTTAACGGCTATCAAATATTGAGTCTGTAGTTTACGCGAGTAGCCATACAACAAGACACATTTTATGGTAAAAATTAAAAACGCTAAATTTCTTCGTTTCGTATGCTTAGCATCCACCATCGTCACGGTGGGACGGAAAATGGAGGGTTTTTTTTATGTGAAGTCAAATTTGCTACACTAGCGCCACCTGTTTCATTCATATTTCGCTAAATAAAATTTAAAGTGTTTAATTTAAATGATCTGTTTTACTTAACAATTTTTTATGCATTTTATTTATAATATATAAAAAAAACACTCATTCCATGACCCAAGTCGCGACATAAGAGAGTTATTTTTGCTTCCGTAAGTAGATTTATCAATGTCAAAACAAATGTTTAATACAATATTATTACAAATACAAACTAAATAGATAATCTGTAAATCATAATAAGTTAAAGCAGCTGTTGTGTATAACCTCTAACATACTAACTTATTTTCTAGTTAAAAGACTAAATGCAACGTTCACTTCTAACGTATATCATTATATACATTGAAGGATCCTAATTTCGATATAAAAGCCGTCAAAGCGACACCAGACGGCAATATCGGCAAATTTGATAAAAGTATCTCAAAGGTGGAGTGTGTGATATTGGGCCAATCATCGGCAATCGTCGCCAACTCTCGGTAATCTTCGGCGCGATTAGATTTACCTGTACTTGAACGTGCCGCGGGATCAAATCAACACGAATTTTGTTATGTTAAGCACAAGTGCTTGTCTGCATGGAACATGTGTATATAGAATATAATAATACTACTGATGTAATCCTATTTCCTCGACTGGGGCATGGGGCACACATTTCTGTGTGTGCGTTTCATTGGCCTAAGATTTTTATGCCCTGCCCAGTCGAAACAGTTTTTTTTCTTCGGTGGATGGACGCGGTTGATAATAGTAGATATACCTATTAAAAAATTAAAAACTTGAAAATTTTAATTATTAGCATTCAAAGCGAATTACTTTTTTTTAAATTAAAATATGATCTATGTTTTAATGAATGTCGGTTTTAAATTAAATTATTAAACAACGAAGAAATTTATCAAAATCGGTTAGGCCAATAACACGTACCTAAAGAAGTAACAAGCATCTAAAAGTCTATATAGGAAATTAATTTACAATGCAAAAGTAGATAAAATGTTTAGTTTTTTTAAGAGGAAAACCAATAAATGGAAAAGTCAAAAATAAGTTTAAGTCAATTGTATTTTATGTTACAGACATCACAATCTTAGTTTTAAGATAATTATAATTTTAAAAGAGACGTAGTGTTCTTTAAAACCTGTACACTTATGGAGATAAAAAAAATATCAATGTGCTCAAAGAGGCATAAATGTAAAACTCGTTTGAATCGCCAAGCGTACATGAGCCCGATACGACATTTTGGCCGTACCGCGACACGACATTTTGGCACTTACATCATCATAGACACCTGGATAATGAACTCAGAACACACTCGAACGCTTTGAAAGAAGCCGTAAAGGAAAGGGGATAATTTTGGAGTTTTAAAGTATTTCGAGTGCATTGAAGTTAATGAACAAGTGTTTGGAGGACTCGTTAATGACTAAATAAGTATTTGGGAAGACCGCGGCGTGTTATTGAGACCTTTTTTTTCTTGCTCGCTGATGAACCGAATTCGTTAATTAGTTTAATTTTTATCTTTTTATACGGCGGTGTAGATCAATGTCTATATTTTTCTAGTACGTCCAACTTTAGCGGCGGTATGTATGTGTAGGCCACGTTTAGTATAATAACCGAAGAAAGAAGTTCCTCCACTCTCAACACACACCCAAAATAATGTAGTTTTTGATTTAAAGTATTATATCTATAATTTACGCGAGTGTTATACATTAAAATAAAACACTTCTAACGGTTTAAAACGCGATGTGTCTGATACACATTAAACTTATTTATAATTTGTTATAACTGCGGTCCGACATTTCGGATGCTTTGCGCCAACCGTGGTCAGCGAGTCTCCCCGTGACCACGGCATAGGAAAAATAGTTATATAAAACGTTTCGCGTTTAAACCGTTAAAAGTTTTTATTTAAAAGTCATTTGTATTTTATTTCTCGTTGGAAAAAGTGAAGCTGTATAGAGGCCAAAGTTTGCCGGCGTCAAAGTGAATTTCGGCGAATCTCTGAGACATAAAAAATGACATTTAATTTCAATTCGCCGCGTGAAGAGCGCATACAATTAGTGGCGCGAGAGGAAGAAATTGCCAATTTCCACGCAGCCAGCCAATTTGGCGCCCAAACCCAGAATATTCGATTTGCGACAACACCAAATCCGATGTACCGCTTTCAAATGTTACAGATGTCATTTTACATGCAAAGTACATATTTTATATTGATCTGCTAAATCTATTCACTGTGTGATGTCATTTTACAGGACGTCAATAAGCATCTTATCTTCTTTGAATTATCTTATAGGCATTATGTACATAAGGCAAGAATGAGTTCGATATTTTTTTATTTAATAATTAAAGCATACAAGACACTTATGCGAAGCAATTTACCTGAGTATAGCTGACGGACGGCTACATACATGAAACAAATAAAAATAACACAATTAAAATAAGCCTTCAAACTACAACTTAACTTAAATTTTATTTAAGATTGGAGTTTTATTTGGTTTCCTGCTGTTGCTATAACAGTTCAACAGTACCTAAGTACTTACGTTTTGAGGAACTTAAATACCTCGTGTAATCTTAAATAAATTTTAAGTTTTATAAGCCATGTGCATTAACAAGTAAGAAATAATAATGTTTATAATGTAATATGCGAAGAGAAATATATAAGTGTTATTGGGATTTTAAAAATATTGTATCCAGTGCTTTTTAAAAACGCACGCTTGCTCTCTAAACACGTTTAAACTAGATCCCACTATCCTTCCTCAAGCAGAATGAAATAAAAGGACGCACGGACTCAAGGCGAAATTTCACAAAATCAAAGTACTCAAGTAAATAGAAGCGTACTCCGCGATATCAAAACCTTTTGAGACGTATCGCGTTTCGTTCACACGCCGGGTGTTAAGAAAATGGAGCAAAAACACTTGTATAGCCCCGGTTTTGTCTGATATTGTGATCTGTGGCCTTTGTGCCCGCTGCTCGGACTGAGCTTTCAAATTACCCCGAATTTTCGACGCCTTAAATTACAGAAATCGTTTATATTATATATTTTTATTAAAACATCATATAATAGATCATAGAATAGTAAAAATTGTATTTAATTAGGTGCGGGTGAACTAAAAATTAAAATACTTTTATTAAACATTTGAATTTAAATCACATCTCTCTAACATGTTTTTTATGATAGAGATGGACATACGATAATCCTATGATGGAAGGTGGAATAACCTAGTCATATAGATCTATTCATATATAAATAGAATGCGCCGTAGACTTCACTAGACATTCAGAGCACTGAAGCCGAAACATTTCACGACGATAACGTCTATGGTCCATAGCTGATTATTCGGATGGTATTTCAATATTCCTACCACCAATGTGTTTTAGATAAATTACTCATTAAGTGAGTTAACTAAAAGAACGTTGCTTAAGAGAAACATAATTTAAAGTAATAATTCAAGTAAAAATTAACAAAAAAATTGGTGACTGTATTTTTTAAGGCCTACATTTAAAAAAAAATTAGAATAGTGACATTTTACATAAAAACAACGATTTAGATTCTAGATTTTTTCTTTTAGTTGAAACAATTAATCAAAGCGATGTAAAAATAAATTAAGTATCAAATAATTATCTGTTTTATTAATGTCGTCATTCACACATAGATGGCGCAAGCGATACGACATTAATTTAACTCTATTATCACAAAGTATTTGGTAGCAAGAACCGAACAAAAGGGAACATCTACAGACAAAAATTAGTGAGGTAGGTAGTATACAATAAAACGTCACAGTTTTGTTTTAACAGATGTTTTTTTACAATAATAATTAATTGAGCACACTGTTTATAAATTGGTGTAAGTATTATGACTGCTTAGGTATACACCTATAGATTATTTTTGCAAAAAATATAGACTTAGATTAAACGCATCAAAAAAAATTGCCTTCATATGTATTAAAAATGTCCTTGTCTTTTAGTAACATTTAAGTAATAATGTATACATGTATACTAATACAACATTTATATGGTATTATGTTCTATTTAAGATAAAAAGTTTTACATAAAACATTTCAAAGAGCATGTGCATGATAGTAATAAGTATACCTATAACTACTGTCCTGAAATACCTGAATAAAAATATAAAAGGCTCTCTTAATCTAAATTGAGTTTATAATGTATGTACCTAATGATATACATAAGTATTTATTTAGGTACTAATAATATAATCTAATATTATTTCTGAAACATGTTGGAATTGGTCTGAGAACTGATCTCAAATGGATAGTAGGAATATTAAAATTCCCTCCGAGTCACGAATCACCATCCACAGATTGAAAAGCCGTGAAGTCTAATCGCGTTTTAGTTTCCTAATTTTTAAAGCCTATCTAACTATCTAAACGATACGGCGTTGTAGGTCGACGAAGTAAAAATTTTATCTATTCCTTGCTTGTTTTTCCTTGCTTCTCTATCATAGAAATAATAATAATACGAGTAGAATATACAGAGGAATATTATTTTCAACATATTAAAATAAAATACTAACGTAAAATACAAAATTAGCATGGCGTAATGAGTTGATTGTGTTACGCGTCATCAATTGGTCCAGTCAAATAATAAATGAACAATAACGCAATAATTATATTATACTTAACACTCAAATAGATTGATTAATCATATTGTGTTCACATCTGTTTCATAGCCGCTGTTTTTAAGTTTCGAATATCGATGGCCTGTTTAACTAGAAAAAAAAAGATAACTACAGATTAAAAATTTTAAACAAGTATTTTTAAAGGAGCAACAGGCACTTTTGCATTTATTTTGCGGATTTATTTATAAAAGGCTTAACAACTAGATTACATAATTAAACTTACTAAATCTATTTGTGGTCATAGTTCATACTACTCACAAACTTAAATGTATGCAGAACTTTAAATAAGACAAAGAAATATAGTTCAATGTTACATTTTTTTTCTGATTCATCAAAAGTTTAAATACGGTCTATAGTTTACGCGATTAGTACACATTTAAATAAAACACTAACGGTTAACGGCGATATATTAGTTAAACGTATTTCTCCCCGTGACCACGGTTGTTGCAAAGCATCCGAAAAGTCGGGCCGAAGTTAAAAATAATTTTCAAATAAGTTCAACTAATGTATCGTGTTTTAAACCGTTAAAGTGTTTTATTTAAATCATAATTTTTTTATCAAAAAAAATAATTTAAATTTATATCAGCTATAATTAACTTGAAAATTATAATGTTTTTATCCACAAGCCGAACGAAACTATTGCTCCCCTGGATTTTGAAGTTAGAACGTCTATTTCTTAACGCAATTCTAGACATCATGTCATCTCATAGATCTAGGATCAAAGATAATTTGAAATATACTTTTTGCAAGTGTAATTTGAAGTGCTGAAGCTGCCCTTCGGAGCTGAAGTATGATCATTTTATAAGATTACACGTTGTACCTTTACCCCACTTGGGCGTATTTCATCCCTAAGTGTATTGGACACTTGGGACCTTAGGCTGGACGAACTTAATGTTACACCCGTTCTTGTTTCGTTTGTTTATTTTAAATCAAATTATTATTGATCTCAGCCGCTGGCAGGTTATTTTTTTTATTTAGTCTGTGGTTAAGTTCCTATAATATTTATAAGTAAAACACTTTTTACAAATTAGTACAACTTATTTTCAAGTTATTTTAACAACAGCCCGACATTTCGGATGCTTTGCAGCAACCGTGGTCACGGACAGTCTCACAGTGTAAATAATTTTAACTGATACATTTTGCGTTTTAAGCCGTTAAAAGTGTGTTATTGAAAATGTGTACTACTCGCGTAAACTACGGTTAGTACTTAAGTATGTTTTTTTCTTATATCTTATTATAGTTATGTTCTTTTAAAATTGATATTGAATTATAAACTTATTTATTATTAAGGTGCGTGGGTTCGAGCTATTCTCAACAAAGAAATGGGTTCCGGGTTTAAATCCCGGTGAAATAATAATCATCTCTCTAAACTTCTAAAGTCTTGCCTTAATCTAATGTGTGTTTTCTTTTTTAATTTTCAACGCTTCAATGACCATTGTAACTACAAAATTGGAACATAACTTCCTAATCTGTCTACATTTCATCCATGGTTGAAACGGGTGAAGAATGGAAGAACCCCTCGCCTCCCCCCAGAACCCCACGACCCCCGCCCCGCCAAGAAAGCTATAATGTTATTACCAGGCCATTATATTTTCACAGCCGACTGCGTGCGCTTCCCGCTACCCTCTCTTGTTTATTGTACACTTTTCTAAATTAGATTTTGTTACAATTTGCTTTTTTTTGCTACGCTCTTTAAATGCTTGTTAAGTTGTTATCTAAAATATATATTGCATTCATACTTTATCACAATAAAATACCAATACTAATATTATAAAGCTGAAGAGTTTGTTTGGTTGTTTAAAATCGCTAATCTGAGAACTACTGGTTCGAATTTAAAGATGCTATTTGTGTTTGGTTAGACCAGTTATGGAAAAAGGTTTTAAGCAGTGACCAGCAGAAGCGAAAAAAAAGAAATGTGAAAAAAGCGGAAAATTATTCATTTTTGAGTGTTTTCGATAGCTTGAACAGTTTGTGTACAAACTGTTCAAGATATCGAAAAACATATATAAAAATAAAATAATTATTATTCTTTACATAATGTAAAAAAGTCCGTGACAATATCGTTTGTTAATCTTTCAAGAATAACAAACAAGAACCGTTTATATACAAAAAAACGTTTGCCAGGACATCTGGTACTTAATATTTATAAAATTTGCTTCCAATATTTAAAATAACAAAAACATTCACCATTGTTTACCTATATTGGGTTCAAAATAAGGTGCACTGTCGACCTATTTCGGCTTATGGATATTCGGAAATCATAGACTGAAACGGAAATGCAGTTAAACTTCGCGGCTTTTCATCTGAAAATGGTGGATTGTGATCCGGTCGGAATCGATATTCCTACCACCTACTTAATATACAGATTTCCAAATGAACTTCACTATATTACACGGAACAATTAGAAACATATTGGATCTGGTGGGGATCAAACCCACGCACCGTGGATTATAACCGTACATTGCCAACGTACAAACGAGCTAGTCAAAACTGAAAATTTAACCTCCTCTTGTAATTTTCAGTAGAATTGATTACAAGTTATTAGCTATGAGCAATGGATTATTTGTGTATGAGATTTCAGCCGGTGACTAATTACGACGGGGCTCCCGCAAAGCGCTTTGTGCCCGCCGCCCGCCCGCCCAAGTGCCAATTAAAATTTTACATCGAACTCCCTTGCAAACTGCCCAGCGAGATAATCCATATTTGCTTATTACAGTAATCAGAACATCCTATTGATTTATTGATAACTCTATTTTTTATGGAT